TGTGTGTGTGTGTGTGTGTTGCTCTCAGCAAGGCTGTCAGCGCCTGAGGATTGGGCCTACGACACCAGAGAGGTCGGGACCTCCCCGCGGAGGCCGTCGTCCTTTTATTGGCCAAAGTGTCACAACGTGAGCACCGAACGTTGCCTGAGCATCTCTTGAAAGATGACAAATTAGGAAGGCGTCCTTTTTGGGATCCTCCCGCGTGACTCGCGGCACCCGGTTACCGTGGCCTCAAAACGACAACGTTCCCCGCCGTCGTCGCCGACATGAACGAGCAACCGCTGAACTGCTCTTGGATGGCGAGCCGTCGTCTTTTCCGCCGTCCGTCCCAAGTCGGTTACGTTGCAACGGGAACATTCATTCGGAAACGGACGTCGTGGCACTTGGGATCTTTGGATGTGCGCCGTCTGCGCGTGCTCCAAATTCACTCCCAAGTGAACCCGCGGCGGGAAGGAAAGCGAGGCGGTAAACCTCAGCGAGAGCCAACTCAAGAGGTCATAGCAAGCGCTTGTTTGACAGCTGGCAAACGTTAGCCGGAGCTGATGCTAGCTCGCGGGCTAGCCGTCACCGTTCGCCCGGTGACCCGAAGGGGCTTTTGCCACCGTGAGCCAACGCCCAAGCGGCTGACTTTTGTCTGCTTTTGACTTCCAACAGATCGCAGCAACAGAGACGGTGCTGTTCCTGGTCCAGTACACGTCCAAAGAGTTTGACCGTTCGGAGAAGACGGTTGCCACGGGAGACTGCTGCTATCTCAACCCACTGGTGCGCAGGACGTTCCGTTTCCTGGGTACGCCACGCCTTTCCCACGTCCGCCCGCGAAGGCCGCGGGGGCAAGTTTGCGTTGCGTTTGACGCCCGTCCCGACAACGGCGGATCCGCCGACGCGCCCGGCGCCCGTTTCAATTCGGACCGGTCACGCGCCGTGCTCCGGAAAGACGTCGTTATGTCCGTTGACCAAATTGGGTCATCCGCATCGGGGTTTAACCGCTGTGGAGCGATTTGTCCACGACGCATTTCACGAAGAAGTACTTGTACGCGAGCCGGGGAGGAAAGGCGGCGCCCCGGCGCCTCGGCTCCGTCGGACCGAGCCAATCACGCTTCCGCCCTAATAAGCAATTTCAGAGGTGAAGGATGGCCGGCGAGAAAGCTGCAGTCATGCGTGAAGCGCAAAGCGCCCCCACCCCCGCGGAAAGAGGACAGAATTAGAACAAACGGCCTCCGCCGCAAGTGACTCACACGGGGCTTGACAAAACGCATTTCCCGCTCCTTCCAAACGGCCGCGGCGACGTCCGCAGCCTCGCGTCGCTGCCGTGACCCAGAAAATGTGCACTCGTTGACGTTTCCAACAATATGCGCAGGACAAGGGGCACGTCTTGTCTTGCCCACCTGCCCCTCCCCCCAATAAAGAAAGAGCAAAATGAATGACAGAAGGTCGGATGGCGATATGTGGACACGGCGCGTTGTGCGTGCGCGCTTGCTACCTTTTGACGCCGATGACGAGAGCGCGGCTTGCTTGCTTGGCTTTCTTTGCGCCTCTGAGACCGCCTCTTCTTCTCGCCAGGAGTTTACACCTTCGGTCTCTTCACCGTTGACATCTTTGCCAACGCAGGCCAGGTGGCGACGGGGAACCTGGCACCTTATTTCATGAGCATCTGTAAGCCAAACTACACGGCGCTGGGCTGCCATCGGGCCCCGCGCTACATCAGCCACCAGGAGGCCTGCACGGGAGACCGGGACGACATCCTGCACGCCCGCAAAACCTTCCCGTCCAAGGAGGCCGCTCTCAGCACTTACGCCGCGCTCTACCTGGCTGTGAGTCGCTCTCGGCTAATCCGCGATTCCGCTGCGTCCGACGGGTGCAACTTGAGCGCCGAACTGGAAACGGGAACGACGGCGCCGCTCGTGATTCCGTTTCGGGTTCGAGGCGAGCGGTCACCGCGGTTCCGTCCCCCGCCAAAAGCAGCAGTCGTCTAGATGGTGAAAGATATTCGACCTCTTTCGATCGCCTCAACGGGAAACGACGGTCGATTTCGCATCAAGTTACGGCACGCGTGCCGCCGGCGCACGCTGTCGATACGTCTTCTGGGCGCGCGGCGGGTTGCGCCGATCCCTCGGGGCCGTTTGGCCGACGTGCTTCCGCCCCGCCTTCACGACACTATTTGGATTTTTCGATTTGAAATAAAAAGATCGGCGGAAGGAGAAAAACACAAAGGCGGAAAGCAAAAACAAGCAAGAAATGAAACGCGATCGGCGCGCAGCAGAAGACAAAGACTGCCGGCTTCCTCTACCGCCTTCAGATGTACGTGACGTGCACGGTGCGGGTGGAAGGCAGCCGCCTGGCCAAGCCCGTCCTGTCGCTGGCCCTGCTGTGTCTGGCCTTCCTCACGGGACTGAATCGCATCGCCGAATACCGCAACCACTGGGCCGACGTCATTGCGGGCTTCGTGATCGGCACCGCCATCGCCACCTTCTTGGTGAGGCTTTTGCCTTGCTTTGTTTATCGTGCCAAAGCAAGAGGAGAGGAGAGGAGAGGCTATCCGAAGCCTTTCTCTTTTCCAGTTGGAAAGGAACCCGGAATTGCCGTCGTGATTTTTCACCTTCCAACCCACTTTGTCCTTTGCTTTAGGTGGTGTGCGTGGTCCACTATTTCCAAGGGAAGTTGCTGCTGAACGACGAGACTCCGACGGGAGCGCGGACGCGCGCGGCACTTGTGGGCACGGGCCAGGTCGAGAGTCCTCTGGACAAGTACATCGTCTCGCAGGTCCGTCGCGACGCCCGCTCGCTCGCTGTTGACCGTTTTTGTCCGACCGCGTGAGCCCGTTCCGATCGACTTTGGAAAGTCAACGTCGGGGATGTCACCGACAACTCCTTGATCCTAATCCATCCCTCCGTGCGGATCCAGACCGGCCTCCAAGATTTGAGGAGAAAGTCTCGTTGAACCGATGAGAGAAAAAGGATGCCGTTTATTTAGGGAGCGACTGCGCTCGGACGTTGGCGCCTTCTCCCGGGACGGGCTCGGATGGAACAAATGAGGGCGGCGGCAGAATAGGGTCCGCGGGAACATTTTGTCTGCCAAAGATACAAACAAACTGTTTGGGAGAGCATCCAGTAAGCCATTCACTTCCAAAAAAAAGATTGGGAAAACACACCGGAGCTTTGTTCAAGTCAAAGAGACTTCACAGCAACGCATCCCGCTAAGAAGATGCACATTTGGTGGACCGTGAAAAAAACAAAAAACATTCAGTTGCCTGAACACGGCCGAAACAAAAAAAAGGGGGAAAAATATCAGCTCGTATTAAACTCAGCGATGCTAAGCTCGGCGGAAAGTAACCGGGCTAAAAATAGCACAGCAAAGAAGCCTCCGAGCTAAAGGGGCCACGCTAAAGAAAATGACAAGCGAGAAAGAAACAGTGCGCGCTTCTCGTTCCCATTTGGTTTTGCTCGGCTCATCGACGTGCGCCGCAAGAGGCTTTCCGCGACTTGCACTCACCGTCACCGTCACCGTCCATCTTTCGGGACCTTGTTATTCCCGACGCTCCGAAGCGGTCGTCGGGCTCCAGGCCGTCGGCGGCGCGCGAAGCCATCTGTTGTTTTTGATTTTTGTTCTTGTGCCGTAGAACCACATCACCTTCGCGGAGGTCACATGACACGGAGCCAGCGGCGCTGCAGGCGCACCGGACGGCGATCCAGCTAGCCCGAGTGCGGCCGTAAACCCGATGCTCTCCTCCTCTCTGTCTCCGTTTTCTCCCTCCTGGTTTTAGTTGTTTTTTTTAGATATCTATCAATCCATATGAAGCATACATCTCAAGAAGGAAAAAAAACAAAAAAGAACATGAAAGTTGGAGTTCCTACCCGTCCAATGTGCACCGAGCCCTGCTGAAAGTAGGCCAACCGCGACCTCCGACCCCGACGACGGACTCGGGGTGACGGCCTTTCCAAATGAAGCTCTTCACTTGAACTTGAACGGATCGCAGCCGAGCCGGCAGCCGAGCCATCCCCCTTCTCTGCGGCGCCCCACAACGGCCAAATGGAAGGGGAAGAGTGTCTCGCTCAAGGGCGGCTTCGAGGTGCGCACCAAACCAAAACGTTCCCATTTTCATCTCGTCGGCCCGGCTTCAAGCCGTCACGGACGCGCGACTCGGTTGAGTTCCAGGTGTTGTTTTAATTGCGAGCGGTGCGAGGCCGCGTTCAATCAGCGACCGGGATCACGCCGCATTATTTCCCCGAGCTCGGACTGACTGACGCGAGCCAAAATGTTCCCGTCGGCTCGTCTGAGAAAACAAACGATACCACCCGTGATCGTGTCGCGTTCTGACCTTAGGCGGCCCCGTAGAAATGGGAAGAGAATCCCGGCCATCCCGCAACTATTCGCAGTCCAACAGAAAAAAAAAAGACGCCCTTCGCTCTCGTTTCCCGAGTGTCCGCGAACGCGCCACGCGTCGTCCGAACCCGAACGCCGAACGAGTCGATGTTTTGCGCGGCTTCGAGTCGGGC